AGCCCAGGACCTCCACATCCGGCTTTTTCACCTGTGAGATCGTCTGAGGAGTACGTCTGTCTGTCTGTCTAATAAAGCCCTTTTGTGGGGAAAAACTCATTCTGATTGGCAGGGCCTGGCTCCCCAGTGGGTGGACCTGGCTCCCAAATGGGTGGGCCCAATGCCCTCCCAGGCCCGCTCATGGCTGCGCCCCTGCCCAGTCATGTGAAATCCATAGATTAGGGCCTAATGAATATTTGAATTGACTGATTTCCTTCTATGAACTGTAACTCAGTAAAATCTTTGAAATTGCTGTATGTTGCGTTTTATATTTTTGTTCAGTATGTAACTTGTCAGAAATGTCTAGATCAGCTAACGTTTTCTAGCTAACTTTTTTAGCCCATAGATTTTGTAGAAATGTTTGAGTCACCGAAATATCACATGAATACACATTAGACATTGCAAAATGTATAGAATTGCAAGACCATTTTCTCTCCGCCAACAAGAGGGTATAAACAGTTTGTGTCATGAACAGTACTTGTGCCCATAGAAATACACATTCATTTCCCACCCAAGTTAACCAGTATGAACTGAAACCCCCACAATGAAAGGCTACCACACAAAATGTACAGTACACGACTCCAGTACAGTACCAAAAAAAGCAGGGAATGTGAGCTATGGTAATCCTAAACATCAAATTGAACAATTGCACATCCTTTGGCATTGAAGCAGGATACATCATCTATTTGATGCATCTACAGTGAGGGGAAAAAAGTATTTGATCCCCTGCTGATTTTGTATGTTTGCCCACTGACAAAGACATGATCAGTCTATAATTTTAATGGTAGGTTTATTTGAACAGTGAGAGACAGAATAACAACAACAAAATGCAGAAAAAACGCATGTCAAAAATGTTAGAAATTGAATTGCATTTTAATGAGGGAAATAAGTATTTGACCCCTCTGCAAAACATGATTTAGTACTTGGTGGCAATCAGAGGTCAGACGTTTCTTGTAGTTGGCCACCAGGTTTGCACACATCTCAGGAGGGATTTTGTCCCACTCCTCTTTGCAGATCTTCTCCAAGTCTTTAAGGTTTCGAGGCTGACATTTGGCAACTCGAACCTTCAGCTGCCTCCACAGATTTTCTATGGGATTAAGGTCTGGAGACTGGCTAGTCCACATGATCATTGCAAAGAGCCCCAGGCCGAGGGAGATTGACAGTTCTTTTTTGTTTCTTCCATTTGCGAATAATCGCACCAACTGTTGTCACCTTCTCACCAAGCTGCTTGGCGATGGTCTTGTAGCCCATTCCAGCCTTGTGTAGGTCTACAATCTTGTCCATGACATCCTTGGAGAGCTCTTTGGTCTTGGCCATGGTGGAGAGTTTGGAATCTGATTGATTGCTTCTGTGGACAGGTGTCTTTTTTTATACAGGTAACGAGCTGAGATTAGGAGCACACTCTTAAAGGGAGTGCTCCTAATCTCAGCTCGTTACCTGTATAAAAGACACCTGGGAGCCAAAAATCTTTCTGATTGAGAGGGGGTCAAATACTTATTTCCCTCATTTAAAATGCAGATCAATTTATAACATGCGTTTTTCAGTTTTTTTGTTGTTGTTATTCTGTCTCACTGTTCAAATAAACCTACCATTAAAATGATAGACTGATCATTTCTTTGTCAGTGGGCAAATGTACAAAATCAGCAGAGGATCAATAACTTTTTTTCCCTCACTGTATGATGCTACCTTCAGCCACTTTACCTGTATGAAGACTTAGATGCTCACATAAGTTGCTTCAGAATGTGAGTGGTTGATGGGTTGGTGTGAGGTTAGCAGATGAGTTGCATTTACATTGAGTCTGTTGATTAAGTAGCACAAGTAAATACTTTTTTCGTCATTGTTTTTCACAACACGATGTGAGAATGTGTCGAATAATTGCTTTGCTTTCCAAGATTTTGAGTGGTATATTATTGTGGTCATCATATTGGCAGAGACTCTAAATCATGAATTAATTAATGAATCATGAATAAGCCCTTATAACAATGGGTCTCGTGTCCACTTCACCGAGCAACTTTACCTCAGTGTTACTTGTTGATTTGTTTTGTTTCTTTGGGAAGAGAGAGCCTAATTGAAAGACTACAAGATGCCCAGGTATTGGACCCTGGCAGAAACTATCGAACAGATGCACACAACTTTACTGAGCGGCTGGGAATGGAAGGTTGTTGATTATAGAAGAAGCCTTTTTCAGAGCTGAATAACTTTATCTCAGTGAAACCTCCGATGTTGGTCCCTTGAGTGCTTTCTTGACTTAAATTGTCATATTTGCTACAGTATAATGTATTTTCATCAAGCTGATTGCGTAAACGTCTCCGTTTTGTAGATGGGAACTTGATATGGACAGTGGGATACAGATGTTTTTTGTGTTCGCTATACTGCTGATAATTTTTGGACTTGACCCTCTCTATCTCCTCTAGGAAGTGTGTAACTGGTATAGGCAGTAATTGCTAAATGTTTGCTTTATAAGGTAAAAGCAGCCCTGATATCACACCATTTATTGTGTCGTGGAACAGGAACTCACCTGTTTCCTGTTTATGCTTAACAAAAGAACCAGAAGGATGGCCTTCTAGGGAGCTTTTCCTAGCCACTGTGCTTCTGCCTCTGCATTGCTTACTCTTTAGGGTTTTAGGCTGGATATACAGTGGGGAGAACAAGTATTTGATACACTGCCGATTTTGCAGGTTTTCCTACTTACAAAGCATGTAGAGGTCTGTAATTTTTATCATAGGTACACTTCAACTGTGAGAGACAGAATCTAAAATCACATTGTATGATTTTTAAGTAATTAATTTGCATTTTATTGCATGACATAAGTATTTGATACATCAGAAAAGCAGAACTTAATATTTGGTACAGAAACCTTTGTTTGCAATTACAGAGATCATAAGTTTCCTGTAGGTCTTGTCCAGGTTTGCACACACTGCAGCAGGGATTTTGACCCACTCCTCCATACAGACCTTCTCCAGATCCTTCAGGTTTCGGGGCTGTCGCTGGGCAATACGGACTTTCAGCTCCCTCCAAAGATTTTCTATTGAGTTGAGAGACTGGCTAGGCCACTCCAGGACCTTGAGATGCTTCTTACGGAGCCACTCCTTAGTTGCCCTGGCTGTGTGTTTTGGGTCATTGTCATGCTGGAAGACCCAGCCACGACCCATCTTCAATGCTCTTACTGATGGAAGGAGTTTGTTGGCCAAGATCTCGCGATACATGGCCCCATTCATCCTCCCCTCAATACGGTGCAGTCGTCCTGTCCCCTTTGCAGAAAAGCATCCCCAAAGAATTATGTTTCCACCTCCATGCTTCACGGTTGGGATGGTGTTCTTGGGGTTGTACTCATCCTTCTTCTTCCTCCAAACACGGCGAGTGGAGTTTAGACCAAAAAGCTCTATTTTTGTCTCATCAGACCACATGACCTTCTCCCATTCCTCCTCTGGATCATCCAGATGGTCATTGGCAAACTTCAGACGGGCTTGGACATGCGCTGGCTTGAGCAGGGGGACCTTGCGTGCGCTGCAGGATTTTAATCCATGACGGCGTAGTGTGTTACTAATGGTTTTCTTTGAGACTGTGGTCCCAGCTCTCTTCAGGTCATTGACCAGGTCCTGCCGTGTAGTTCTGGGCTCATCCCTCACCTTCCTCATGATCATTGATGCCCCACGAGGTGAGATCTTGCATGGAGCCCCAGACCGAGGGTGATTGACTGTCATCTTGAACTTCTTCCATTTTCTAATAATTGCGCCAACAGTTGTTGCCTTCTCACCAAGCTGCTTGCCTATTGTCCTGTAGCCCTTGTGCAGGTCTACAATTTTATCCCTGATGTCCTTACACAGCTCTCTGGTCTTGGCCATTGTGGAGAGGTTGGAGTCTGTTTGATTGAGTGTGTGGACAGGTGTCTTTTATACAGGTAACGAGTTCAAACAGGTGCAGTTAATACAGGTAATGAGTGGAGAACAGGAGGGCTTCTTAAAGAAAAACTAACAGGTCTGTGAGAGACGGAATTCTTACTGGTTGGTAGGTGATCAAATACTCATGTCATGCAATAAAATGCAAATTAATTACTTAAAAATCATACAATATGATTTTCTGGATTTTTGTTTTAGATTCCGTCTCTCACAGTTGAAGTGTACATATGATAAAAATTACAGACCTCTACAGGCTGCAAATCGGCAGTGTATCAAATACTTGTTCTCCCCACTGTACGTAAAGCACTCTAACAACTGCTGATGTAACAAGGGCTTTATGAAATAAATGTGATTTGATTGGTTAATAATGAAATACCACAACCATGATTTAGAATGGAATAAATCTATTATTATGTCATGTTAAACAGGGTGAAAGGGTATATACTTAAACTTGCTTTTAAATGAATCTATATTTTCTCTATCCAAAAGATGGCAACAACAACCACTGAGAATGGAGGTGGAGGAACCAGTGGGTCAAAAGATTACAAAAAGGTATGGAGTCTTTGGGCCCCGGTAATTGATTTATAATGTATGGCACACATCTACAAATCCTGTATAATGTCCTTCTGAGTGTGAACGAGATTCCATTGGTGAACTGAGCGTCAAGAAGGATTACTGCCATTCCTCTTAATATTGGGCAATGCTTTGCCCTCCCTGGACTGGAGATGGTGTTGTTGTTGAGCGTTACGTAACAGTGCTCAGTCTGTCTGTTTGTGTTGGCTGATGGAGGGGCCAGAGTGGCGGATAACGTGATTAGGTAGATCAGCCACTGTGTTTAGCCACACAAGAGGCACGCTGACTGCCCTGCAGATTTTCTGCCTTTCTGTCGGTTCAGAACGGAAATCCCGAAATCAGTTAAAAAGCTACAGGTGGTCCTGGTATCCATGAACATGCTGACTGACATGCATCAGATGTACCTTTCAGATGTACAAAAATGTTATGGGTATGGTTTGATCTGGAATCCTACACATTATAATCTGTGTCGTATTGATTTAGAATATAATGTTTGTGTGGTCCCAGCCCACAGCTGCTGCACTGATAGGAGCCATCCAGCTGGGCATTGGGTATGCTGTGGGGAACCTGACATCCAAGCCTGACAGAGATGTGCTCATGCAGGATTTCTACATGGTGGAGAGTGTCTTTCTACCCAGGTACAGTACACAGCACTGGCATCACTCAGCAGGCTTATACACATCACTAGTTAGTGACACGAATACAGCACAAACTCTGTTAAAGAAGCATATCTGAACCTCATTGGTCAGATTTTCCCATTGACACAGAAGTCCCTTTCACTACAAAAGTCCTACTCCAGTGTCCTTTTCACCTCATTTAACACCTGTTCATTTCCACGTTTTCATACATTCATAGAATGTTTGGGAATGACGCAGAGTAAGGCATTTGGGAAAATTCGATAGCAATGTAGTGTGGGAAAGTGGCTGTGCGTTTGGACAATTAATAGACACTGCAGTAAATAAAACCTAATAAAAACATCTGTCTTGTCCAGGACCGGACTCTACACAGACCGATCAGACCTACAGTAAGCCTATATGCAAATAAGCCATTTGCCACACGGGCCAGCCATCACTCACTTTGAATTGGACTGTGTGTTTACAGGCAGTAGCAACAGCACAACTTCAGATCATTAGAAAGCATTCACCTAAGGCCACAAAATATACCTGAATGGATTTCTGCAAATATGTAAATACCACGGGAGTCCTCTTACATTTGCAGACTTTACTTTTAATGCAGGAAAACTTAAATCAGTTTTAGCTCATTTCTACCAGCATGTTACCTGTGCAACTAGAGGAAAAATAACTCTAGATCACCTTTACTCCACACACAGAGACTCATACAAACAAAGCTCTCTTTCGCCCTCCATTTTTGGCAAATCTGACCATAACTCTATCCTCCTGATTCCTGCTTACAAGCAAAAACTCAAACAGGACGTATCAGTGACGCGCTCAATATGGAAGTGGTCCGATAAAGCAGATGTTAAGCTACAGGACTGTTTCGCTAGCACAAACTGGAATATGTTCCGGGATTCATCTAATGGCATTGAGGAGTTTACCATATCGGTCACCGGCTTCATTAATAAGTGCATGGACAACGTCATCCCCACAGTGACAGTACGTGTGTATATACAGTGGGGAAAAAAGTATTTAGTCAGCCACCAATTGTGCAAGTTCTCCCACTTAAAAAGATGAGAGATGCCTGTAATTTTCATCATAGGTACACGTCAAATATGACAGACAAAATGAGAAGAAAAAAATCCAGAAAATCACATTGTAGGATTTTTAATGAATTTATTTGCAAATTATGGTGGAAAATAAGTATTTGGTCAATAACTAAAGTTTCTCAATACTTTGTTATATACCCTTTGTTGGCAATGACACAGGTCAAACGTTTTCTGTAAGTCTTCACAAGGTTTTCACACACTGTTGCTGGTATTTTGGCCCATTCCTCCATGCAGATTTCCTCTAGAGCAGTGATGTTTTGGGGCTGTCGCTGGGCAACACAGACTTTCAACTCCCTCCAAAGATTTTCTATGGGGTTGAGATCTGGAGACTGGCTAGGCCACTCCAGGACCTTGAAATGCTTCTTACGAAGCCACTCCTTCGTTGCCCGGGCGGTGTGTTTGGGATCATTGTCATGCTGAAAGACCCAGCCACGTTTCATCTTCAATGCCCTTGCTGATGGAAGGAGGTTTTCACTCAAAATCTCACGATACATGGCCCCATTCATTCTTTACTTTACACGGATCAGTCATCCTGGTCCCTTTGCAGAAAAACAGCCCCAAAGCATGATGTTTCCACCCCCATGCTTCACAGTAGGTATGGTGTTCTTTAGATGCAACTCAGCATTCTTTGTTCTCCAAACACGACGAGTTGAGTTTTTACCAAAAAGTTCTATTTTGGTTTCATCTGACCATATGACATTCTCCCAATCCTCCTCTGGATCATCCAAATGCACTCTAGCAAACTTCAGACAGGCCTGGACATGTACTGGCTTAAGCAGGGGGACACGTCTGGCACTGCAGGATTTGAGTCCCTGGCAGCGTAGTGTGTTACTGATGGTAGGCTTTGTTACTTTGGTCCCAGCTCTCTGCAGGTCATTCACTAGGTCCCCCCGTGTGGTTCTGGGATTTTTGCTCACCGTTCTTGTGATCATTTTGACCCCACGGGGTGAGATCTTGCGTGGAGCCCCAGATCGAGGGAGATTATCAGTGGTCTTGTATGTCTTCCATTTCCTAATAATTGCTCCCACAGTTGATTTTTTCAAACCAAGCTGCTTACCTATTGCAGATTCAGTCTTCCCAGCCTGGTGCAGGTCTACAATTTTGTTTCTGGTGTCCTTTGACAGCTCTTTGGTCTTGGCCATAGTGGAGTTTGGAGTGTGACTGTTTGAGGTTGTAGACAGGTGTCTTTTATACTGATAACAAGTTCAAACAGGTGCCATTAATACAGGTAACGAGTGGAGGACAGAGGAGCCTCTTAAAGAAGAAGTTACAGGTCTGTGAGAGCCAGAAATCTTGCTTGTTTGTAGGTGACCAAATACTTATTTTCCACCATAATTTGCAAATAAATTCATTAAAAATCCTACAATGTGATTTTCTGGATTTCTTTTCCTCAATTTGTCTGTCACAGTTGACGTGTACCTATGATGAAAATTACAGGCCTCTCTCATCTTTTTAAGTGGGAGAACTTGCACAATTGGTGGCTGACTAAATACTTTTTTCCCCCACTGTATCTCAACCAGAAGCCATGGATTACGGGTAACATCTGCATTGAGTTAAAGGCTAGAGCTGCCGCTTTCAAGGAGCAGACACTAATCTGGACACTTATAAGAAATCCTGCTATGCCCTACGACGAACCATCAAACAGGCAATGCGTCAATACAGGACAAAGATAGAATCCTACACTGAAGCATGCGTGAGAGCACCAGCTGTTCCGGACAACTGTGTGATCACGCTCTCCGTAGCCGACGTGAGTAAGACCTTTAAACAGATTAACATTCTCAAGGCCGCAGGACGGATTACCAGGACGCATACTCAGAGCATGCGCTGACCAGCTGGCAAGTGTCTTTACTGACATTTTCAACCTCTCCCTGACCCAGTCTGTAATACCTACATGTTTCAAGCAGACCACCATAGTTCCTGTGCCCAAGAACGCGAAGGTAACCCGTCTAAATGAATACCGCCACGTAGAACTCACATCTGTAGCCATGAAATGCTTTGAAAGTGGTTATGGCTCACATCAACACCATCATCCCAGAAAACCTGGACCCACCCACCGCCCAAACAGATCCACCGATGACGTATCTCTTTTGCACTCCACACTGCCCTTTGCCACCTGGACAAAAGGAACACCTACGTGAGAATGCTGTTCATAGACTACAGCTCAGCGTTCAACACCATAGTGCCTTTCAAACTCATCACTAAGCTAAGGTCCCTGGGACTGAACACCTCCCTCTGCAACTGGATCCTGGACTTCCTGATGGGCCGCCCCCATTTGGTGAGGGTAGGCAACAACACATCTGCCACGCGGATCCTCAACAAGGGGGCCCCTCGGGTGCATGCTTAGTCCCCTCCTGTACTCCCTGTTCACCCACGACTGCGTGGCTGCGCACGACTCCAACATCATCATCAAGTTTGCCAATGACACGACGGTGGTGGGATTGATCACCAATGACGATGAGACAGCCTATTGGGAGGAGGTCAGAGACCTGACAGTGTGGTACCAGGACAACAACCTCTCCCTCAACGTGGGCAAGACAGAGGAGCTTATCGTGGACTACAGGAAACCTAGGGCCGAACACGCCCCCATTCACATCGACAGGGCTGTAGTGGAGCGGGTCGAGTGCTTCAAGTTCCTCAGTGTCCACATCACTAAGGACCTATCATGGTCCAAACACACCAACACAGTCGTGAAGATTGCACGACAATGCCTCTTCCCCCTCCGAAGGCTGAAAAGATTTGGCATGGACCCTCAGAAAGTTGTACAGCTGCACCATTGAGAGCATCTTGACTGGCTGTATCACCGCTTGGTATGGCAACTGCTCGGCAGCCGACCGCAAGGACTACAGAGGGTAGTGTGTACAGCCCAGTACATCCAGTACATCACAGGGATGTAGCTCAGTTGATAGAGCATGGCGTTTGCAATGCCAGGGTTGTGGGTTCGATTCCCACGGGGGGCCAGTATAAAAAAATATGTATTCACTAACTGTAAGTCGCTCTGGATAAGAGCGTCTGCTAAATGACAAAAATGTTTTTAAAAATGTAAAAATGTAAATCACTTGGGCCGAACTCCCTGCCATCAGGACCTCTATACTACCAGGCGATGTCAGAGGAAAGCCCTAAAAATTGTCAAAGAGTCCAGCCATCCAAGTCATAGACTGTTTTGTCTGCTACCGCACGGCAAACGGTACGTTAATCTCTAGGAGACAGAACGCGTCTCCTTCCTGAGCGGTATGACGGCTGCGTGGTCCCATGGTGTTTTATACTTGCATACTATTGTTTGTACAGATGAACGTGGTACCTTCAGGCATTTGGAAATTGCTCCCAAGGATGAACCAGACTTGTGGAGGTCTACAATTTTTTTTCTGAGGTCTTGGGTGATTTCTTTTGATTTTCCAATGATGTCAAGCAAAGATGCACTGAGCTTGAAGGTAGGCCTTGAAATACATCCACAGGTACACCTCCAATTGACGAAAATGATGTCAATTAGCCTATCAGAAGCTTCTAAAGCCATGACATCATTTTCTGGAATTTTCCAAGCTGTTTAAAGGCACAGTCAACTTAGTGTATGTAAACTTCTGACCCACTGGAATTGTGATACAGTGAAATAATCTGTCTGTAAACAATTGTTGGAAAAATGACTTGTGTCTTGCACAAAGTAGATGTCCTAACCGACTTGCCAAAACTATAGTTTGTTAACAAGAAATGTGTGGAGTGGTTGAACAACAAGTTTTAATGACTCCAACCTAAGTGTATATAAACTTCCGACTTCAACTGTATATGGCCAAGCTATCATTGCTCATTGTGTATTTATTCCTTGTGTTATGATTTTTTTTATTTTATTATAATTTGTTTGTAATTGTATTCTGCATTGTTCGTAAGGGCCGTAAAGTAAGCAGATCACTGTAAGTCTACACTGGTTGTTAATGAAGCATGTGACAATTACAATTTGATTTGATGCACATCAACAAGAACAACAACTGATAGCCAGAGCGAGAAGAGCTAAAATCTAACGAGGGAACAGTAGATAAACCCTCTCAAACTCCAAAATTGCACTGATAAATGATGTGGAATAGTAGCCTGCTCGCCCTTCTGCAGCTTGCCTGCCAATGCATGCTTGTCCCAACCCACGTTTTGACAACTGAATGGGAACAAACTTGCCTGCCTGCCCATTTGGTCGATGCCAAATACATTTGATTGACAACTAAGGGATATGGTAATTGTGGATAACAGTCGTTCAAGTTCAGCATAGCTAGCTAGCAAAGTGATTCACATTTCTTGCTAGCTAACCAAATGACACCTGCCACTCTAGCTGTAGCCACAGAAAAACGATATGACGGAAAAGTTGGCCACTCACCCACTCATCCAATCACATAACATCGTCCCAGCAGCCAGCTAGCTAGCTAGCTAACGTTAGGCTTCGTGTTTTTGTTGGTAAATAAATAGCTACATAAATAGATAAGCTAGCCTATTAGCAACGTTATGAATGACTTATGATCATTGCCCTTACTAGTTTGATTGTATTGACATTCTCATCCTTAGTTACATTCGTCTATTTTTTTGTCCAACATATTGAGTCATTGAAACTGAAACGGTGCATCCCGAATGGCTGGAGGAAGAAAACAATGTACCAGGCCAGCTGTGATAACAATATTTGTTGGACTACCGAAACAGTTATTGGTGATATATATTATATTATCCATTCATTGAACTGCATCCATCGGCCAACAATGCCTTACTCTACGTCATGGAATTTTGAGTCAAATATAACCTATTTTAAAAACGTCTTATAAAGTTGGTTTTGTAGCGTAAGATGGGAATTTGAAATTTTTTACTGATATGATTTGTCTTTTTGTTTCATATCTGCAAAGTCGTTAAAACGCTGTCAGTTCCAAAAGGCACATCTCAATAGGGTCCAGGTATGACATGGCACAAGGGGGGCCGATTTTTATAGTTTAATTGTTTTACCTTTACTGTTGAAAAGCGATATCCCAAGTATAAATACAGTAAAGTACTCACAAAGGTTAAACAAATTAGTAGGGCATTCAAAGAGTTGGTCTGATGGGAATCCGTGATCTTGAGAAACAATATAGGAGCAATAGAGAACAGAAGAGGAAATGCCAACACCCTGCCTTGTGCTATGTCATGACATACCTGGACCACCTATTGAAATGTGCCTTTTGTTAAGTAAATCAGGTGTTAAATAAGGTGAAATGAGACTGGAGTGCCACTTTAAGGGCCCAACAAACCCTACGCAAACAGAGTGCTGGAGTGTCATACTGTCTGTTTCAAAATATTAGCCACACAAAAGTACGTAGGAAATGAAGCTCTCTCGTTGCATTTTAAGTGTCTTTAAAGTTAGCAATTGTGTCTAAAAAAATACTCAATCTTGCTAAAAAAATAATAATAATTAAACCTTTTTGTGTGTACTTTACTGTATTTATACTTGGGATATCGCTTTTCAACAGGATTGTTTTTTTGTCTTTAAAACTACAACACTTAGCTTGACATGCATGACCCTCAAAGCTTCACTGAAAGATGCACATCTGTTGTGGCATCAGTTAGGCACTGCTTATCACAAAGCTGATGCTTATTGTATACTTCAAAAGCTTCCTTGTAGGGGTCAATCACTCAGTCACAATATTCTCTGTTTGCTCTAACTCAGTGGTTCCCAAACTCTGGGGCCAACTTACTCTTGAAAGCTGTAATAGTAGAATACTTCAAAATTAGGTAGTGCATCAGCAGTTTTCCTCATGTCATGTCAGTCATTGCTCCCTCAGAGAGCTATTTAGGTCGCTGGTTTGAATGTCCGATCAGGCAAGGTGGAAAAATCTGCCGTTAATCCCCATCAACAAAAACTGTGCTGTGGATTTCGATAAAGGCAGCCCCCCGGATCGCTCTGATTTAGAGGGGTTGGGTTAAATGCAGAAGACACATTTAGGTTGAATGCACTCCATTGTGCAACTGATTAGGTATCTCTTATAACGTTTTAGAAATGACCAGAACCAACTTACTAGCCCATGTCAGCTAATGTTTTTTGTTCCCCAATGATGGAAGGGGGGCCCCGAGTGGAAAACGTTTGGGAACCACTGCTCTAACTGATACATTTGTGTACTGTACACTCTTCTCTCGGGATGCAAATGTACATATTTTCAGTGATAAATTATTGTTTGTAAATGGATGTATAGGATTGCTGTTGCACACTGATAACACTAATCTGTTTGTGTGATAATGCTTGGGTTGTCAGTGAGGGGAGCAACATGACCCCAGCGCACCACTTCCCAGACTTCCGCCTCAAAACCTACGCCCCTCTCGCCTTCCGCTACTTTAGGGAGCTCTTTGGCATCAAAGCAGATGACTACCTGGTTAGTGTGGAAAGCCCTTTACAGAAAACACTCCTACACACCATGTGCTTCTCTGATAATACAGTATACAATCATGTAGTAATACACCCCATCAGAGTTCTATCAATAAGAGCACAGTGTTCCCACTGGGCACAGATGTCAGTTCAATGTCTGGTTGAGTTGTTAACTAACATGAATTCAACATTCACATTGGGTTTAGGTTAAAAGTTAGGTGAAAAAAAGAATTCCCTTACATTGATTACCTTTTTCAAATCCAATCAGTTTTCTACGTTAATTCAGTGTCATCACATTTGAATTCTTTGGTTGAAATGATGTGGAAACAATGTTGATTCAACCAGTTTTTGCCCAGTGGGTTTGATTTGTTAGTTGAAAACTTCCTTGTTGCTGTCCTGTCTATATAAATGCATGCTATTGGTTCTTCCTGTATGAATTCCAGTACTCCATCTGTAATGAGCCTCTGATCGAGCTGTCCAACCCCGGGGCCAGCAGTTCCTGGTTCTACCTGACCAGCGATGATGAGTTCATCATTAAGACTGTGCAGCATAAAGAGGCTGAGTTCCTGCAGAAACTCCTTCCTGGTTACTACATGGTGAGCCTCTCCCTTAACACGAACACCATTCCTGTCACAATAAATAGAGCAACTCCTATCAGTTCTAGTGCCTTCAGGATATTCTTATTCAAAGATTGTAAAGTTTTATTTAAATGTTAGCAACATGTGTGAACTATTCTCAAATGTGTCTTAAATATGTAAATGTTTCTCTTTTTCCATCTTGTTTTATTTCAGAATCTGAATCAGAACCCGAGGACACTGCTACCGAAGTTCTACGGCCTATACTGCATCCAGTGTGCTGGGTTCAACACCCGCCTGGTGGTGATGAACAATGTGTTGCCCAGGGCCCTCCAGATGCACTACAAATACGACCTGAAGGGCTCCACCTACCAACGCCATGCCTCGTGCAAGGAGCGTGCCAAGTTCTCGCCCACCTTCAAAGACCTCGACTTTCAGGAGATGCTTGAGGGCCTGCACTTTGATGGCGACACGTACAGTGCCTTAATGAAGACACTGCAGAGGGACTGCAGGGTGAGGCCACTCACAGTTGATTCACTTACATATTGGTATTGCATATTCAAAGCATGAAGGCTAGTCAAATTGGTGTTGTTAGAGGGACATTTTTGTTCCTTCAGTAGCATTTGGTTGGATATTTCTCATTGAACTTTGAACGCTCATTGGCGATAATGTTACATAAGGATGACCGGCCTCTCCTCCATCACCTTGAGCCCTTCTGAATGACTGCATTATTACTGCATGTTGTTTGATTAGTGGGAAAGCACAGTAGACTCCTCAACAGAGGAACTGGACTGAGGCAGAATAACAGTCACCCAACACAATGTGGTAGTTAGGCAGCAGCACAGTAGGGTAACTCAGGCACTGTTAAGGCCTTTGTTTAGAGGAGTTATAGTGTCACATCAGTGTTGGTCAGAAGCAATGTTCTCTCTAAGCTGCGTTATGAGCCCGCGCAGAGAAGCACGAGATTGAACTAAACTCAACTTTCTACAGTTTTCCCCTTTAGTTAACACTATCAACGTTTCGCTCTACTGTGGGAATTGTGATTGAATCAACGCAATATTAGCCACTTTCAATTGTAATATACCGAAACAAAACAACTATGCAAGATTTAGAATGCAAAACTAACCAAGAGATTTTCTTGTAGGCAGAGCGCATTGGAGTAGGATTCTATTCCATTGACAGGCACAACTCAGACCCGTACACAGACCTGTGTGCCATAACCAATCTTCTTCTTCTGTGGTATAATGGCATTCACAACAATCGGATGTGCATTCCGCCACCTACTGTGCGGGTGGATAATAAGGATCCCAAAAAAGGAAATAATGTGGGCAAAAATAATAATAATCAAACAAACTATCAAAAAATAAATTAACTAAACAAAATCAACCTGCTTTTCTGTAAAAAACGAATTCTTAACAGGTCCCTACACAGGCTCAGAAGACTCCTGTGAGGGCGGGACATTTCCTAGCGACAATAGTCCTTGCAGTGCTTCTGCCGTGAAGTTCTGGAACCCCAAAAACTTATCGGCTGCAGATATAATGATGTCCAGCTCCTTGGACTTCTAAGACACTTGTGCTGTACAACTAATCACTGTGGCTATAAATGACACAAAATCCACCTTCTTTATGTATCCAGATCACTCGATTGACTTAAAACAATAGCAACTGGTTGCGATGCATCCAATGACAAATCTTCAACACTATTGCCTCTTGCCCCTTTGACTCTCTTCACTGCCTCCACATAGGAGAACCGCTACACAGCCCTGATCCTTGACACCTCGAACCACCTTCACCCTAACAGGGCACTCAAGGAAGTCCGGAGTATGATCCCCACCACAGTTGCAACAGTTTCCATTTACCGATTCTTCAATACCATACTTCTCCCATCTGCAAACATTTGACATGTGCCCATATCCCATATTTACAATTCTCACACTGTAATGGTTTGGACACAAATGCTCTCACCGCATACCTCACATATCCAAGCTTCACATGTTCAGGTAGAGTCTCCTCAAACAACAATAAAATCGATAGGCTTTTCTCCTTCCTTCCATTTACCATACGGGTCAGGCGACATGCGCTGACCACTCCTGGGATTTTCTGACTAAGGTACTCGTCATCTACACTACCGGTCAAAGGTTTTAGAACACCTACTCATTCAAGGGTTTTTCTTTATTTTTACTATTTTCTACATTGTAGAATAATAGTGAACACATCAAAACTATGAAATAACACATATGGAATCATGTAGTAACCAAAAAAGTGTTAAACCAATATAAATATATTTGAGATTCTTCAAATAGTCACCCTTTGCCTTGATGACAGCTTTGCACACTCTTGGCATTCTCTCAACCAGCTTCACCTGGAATGCTTTTCCAACAGTCTTGAAGGAGTTCCCACATATGCTGAGCACTTGTTGGCTGCTTTTCCTTCACTCTGTGGTCCGACTCATCCCAAACCATCTCAATTGGGTTGAGGTCGGGGGATTGTGGAGGCCAGGTCATCTGATGCAGCACTCCATCACTCTCCTTCTTGGTAAAATAGCCCTTACACAGCCTGGAGGTGTGTTGGGTCCTTGTCCTGTTGAAAAACAAATGATAGTCCCACTAAGCCCAAACCAGATGGGATGGCGTATTGCTGCAGAATGCTGTGGTAGCCATGCTGGTTAAGTGTGCCTTGAATTATAAATAAATCACAGACAGTGTCACCAGGAAAGCATGCCCACACCATAACACCACCTCCTCCATGCTTTACGGTGGGAAATACACATGCGGAGATAATCCGTTCACCCACACCGCGTCTCACAAAGAGACGGCGGTTGGAACCAAAAATCTCCAATTTGGACTCCAGACCAAAGGACAAATTTCCACCGGTCTAATGTCCATTGCTCGTGTTTCTTGGCCCAAGCAAGTCTCTTCTTCTTATTGGTGTCCTTTAGTACTGGTTTCTTTACAGCAATTAGACCATGAAGGCCTGATTCACACAGTATCCTCTGAACAGTTGATGTTCAGATCTGTCTGTTACTTGAACTCTGTGAAGCATTTATTTGGGCTGCAATTTCTGAGGCTGGTAACTCTAATGAACTTATCCTCTGCAGCAGAGATAACTCTGGGTCTTCCATTCCTGTGGCGGTCCTCATTAGAGCCAGTTTCATCATAGCGCTTGATGGTTTTTGCGACTGCACTTGAAGAAACTGTCAAAGTTCTTGAAATGTTCCGTACTGACTGACCTTCATGTCTTAAAGTAATGATGGACTGTCATTTCTCTTTGCTTATTTGAGCTGTTCTTGCCATAATATGGACTTTGGTGTTTTACCAAATAGGGCTATCTTCTGTATACCCCCCCCACCTTGTCACAACACAACTGATTGGCTGAAATGCATTAAGAAGGAAAGAAATTCCACAAATTAACTTTTAAGAAGGCACACCTGTTAATTGAAATGCATTCCAGGTGACTACCTCATGAAGCTGGTTGAGAGAATGCCAAGAGTGTGAAAAGCTGTCATCAAGGCAATGGGTGGCTATTTGAAGAATCTCAAATATAAAATATATTTTTATTTGTTTAACACTTTTTTGGTTAATACATGATTCCATATGTGTTATTTCAATGTAGAAATAGTAAAAATTAAGAAAAACCCTTGAATGAGTAGGTGTTCTAAAACTTTTGACCGGTAGTGTATATCCAATGAGACTCCAGCTATAACTCCTTTTGCAGGCGCCCTGCTCCGAAGATCAACACAGGTTACTTCTAACATGGGCAATTTTGCCAGATGCAGTGCACACTTCTTCTGTTCTTCGACACAATTAACCAAAACAAGGCTGCTTCTAGTCACCTTGATTGAGTCCACCTTTCCCACTGCTTTCTTCACAGCCCTCGATATTACAAATGGATTTCCCAAATGAACCTCCTTGTCCAAAAAACGCAGTCCAATAAGAAATGCATTATGGGACCGGTCCTTGTCTTCTACTACAACTTTTGCTCGTTTTGTTCCATTCTTTGATTTCACTATGTTCCATTTATTATCACACACTTCACTTGCCGCACTTTCAGATTCAAGCACAGTCTCCATTTCCCCACCTAACCACCGAGGGCCTTCCCGCCATAACCAATCAGAGCTGCAGTAAGCCTATATGCAAATAGCCATTGCCATATATGGATCTTTACCATTCACTTTGAACTGGACTTTGTTTAGGCTACAGTATGAGTGGTCGCGAGTAGATGCGCTTGTTTTGAGATCAAAGTGAGATCTGCATGTAGCCAGGTGTGCACATTGGTTCATATTATTTGCTAGTTAGTGAGTTATTAGCCCAGTTATAGCTCATTTCTAGTCAACAATAGGGGAGTGGTTGCTTCCAACGAGCACAAAATGTGTGCATTTCTAGCCATCTTTGAAAAGCGAGTCGGGTAAAGAGCTTTTTTATGTCTTAAAGGGGAAGTGTTGTATTTTGAGACGACTTTGAATAAGCTAAGTAGCCAATAGCCAAAGCGTGGCATTATTTGTCTGATTCTCTGTAATAATGGTATGGGAATAATAATTAATTTTATGTAAAGTGGTTTCTTGCATCAAACACAACATTTTCAGTCACCTCCTTGTCTGAAGGACAAGTGGATATACAGGTTAATGTCAAGCCCTGCATGTTTTTTTCTCCAAAAGTCTCATGGAATGTAGGCATTGAACACCACACAGGCTGAATGATAGAACAGCTATTTCCATGTTAAAATGTTATGGGATGCGTTTTTCTCTATTGTTTTTGATGGTAGGCCACTCTGTTAGGCCTACATTATGATCAAATAGCCACAGTAACCTACTTGGCAATTGTTGAAACTGTAACTTAAAGCAGGTACAGCCTCAGTGTTCACAGTAAACGCGTGCCGGAAGTTGCACAGAATTTTCACAACGTTCAAGTTTGTGCTCAGCAGACCAGAAATTTGCTCAGTGCCTACATTTTGTTGAGGGAACATTGGTCAGAGGGCTAGAGGTTTAAGTGTTTTTGGTTTGCTAATCCATCTTTGGTGGCTAGTTTGACAGGACTTTCAGCACGGGTGGTTGTCGAAGGTCGCGTGGAGTGGTCACTTAAGAGGATTGTTCAGAATTGTTTATAAAGTGGGAACAAAATGTGGTCATGTTTGTGCTTTGGTCACGTGTACTTTTATGTTCCTGTCATATTCATCTGTGTGGATTCTGTGGTCAGGTCCTGGAGAGCTTTAAGATCATGGACTACAGTCTCCTGCTGGGGGTGCATGTGCTGGACAAGAAGTGTCTGGACAGGGGGGCCAGGGCGGACAGTAAGCGCCTCAATGGCCAGAGGGTCCTCTACTCCACTGCCCTGGAGTCCATCCAAGGGGAAGGGGACGGCAAGGTTGCAGAGCCAGTGGCAGATGATGACACGTGAGAGAACATTCACCTTCATAAGGCCCTTTCACTAATGACATATCACTGACTACACAATGAGTCATTGTAAACGTTAGTACATTGTATTATTCACACCGTAATTCAGTCATACACTGCATAGCAGCTGGTTGAGATGTAAATTCCTTTTTTGTCTATCAGAATGGGTGGAATTCCAGCTAAACACAAAGATGAGAAGATGCTGATCTTCTTAGGGATTATTGACATCCTCCAGTCCTACAGGTAAGAGCTTTTTGTGGAACCACTGTCATCATTTCCATCAAGAAAAACGCATCTATGTTACACATAACGTAACTTATCTTTGTAACATCTGTACTTATTTTTAAGGTTCATCAAGAAGGTGGAGCACTCCTGGAAAGCCCTCGTACACGATGGGGTAGGCTACAGTGTGTGCGCATGTGATTGTATTCATATTCCATTTGGCTCTCATAGCGGCCTGACACCTGTGTATGTTTGTGTGTCAGGATACAGTGTCAGTTCACAGGCCCAGTTTCTATGCAGACAGATTTCTGAAGTTCATGGGCGGCACTGTATTCAAAAAGATCCATCGTAAGTGACTTATTTCACTCAAACACACTCAAATAGACCTTATAAATGTTCCCATTCCTTTTCTTAGTCAATAGTTGTAGATCAACTTTGTTTCTCTCTCTCTCTCTCTCTCTCTCTCAGCTGTAAGAGGAGCATCCTCCAAGAGGAAGAGGAGCTCCATCCATGCGATGAGGTCAGCCTCCCAGGAGGTACTGTCCCCCCAAAAGGAGGAGAAGAAGGACGAGAGAAAGGCCCAAAGCATGGAGAGCCTGAACGGACAATGTAGTCACCCTTCATAAAAAAACGACACAACCCACAATCTATTGGGCCTGGACACAAACACACTTCTCACGTCATGCACTCTCTGCTTTATCCTTTGACGTTTTTTTTTGTATTTCTCTGTTTTGTTCAACAGTAATGAGTTCCTACAAGCAACCTGACCTAGTCCTACTCCCTAAATGTTTAAATCAGGCTGTTTCCTCATCCTCCTCCACTCTTGAGAAGATCAAGAAAGACCTTGAGGAGCACCTGGAGAATAGGTACAGTGTCGACTGCACATACAATCTTTACACCTTCCCCACTGAACACAAACTGGTTGAATCAACGTTGTTTCATCGTCATTGGAATCCAATGGAAAATACATTGGATATGAAAAAAGTTGTTTTGAGGGTGAAATTTCAACCACCGGATTGCGAATGTCATAATTGTAACCAATTTTCAACAAAGACAAACCTTGTTAAAATATGTTGAATTTGTACATTTGAAACAATGTCAGATCTTCAATGTTATATCCACTATCAGAAATAAAAAAGATAATAGGCTGGGCAGCACTTCCTACTGGAGAGTTGATCTACAACTATTGATTTGGACTCCCATCCAGGGTACTATTGATTTGGACTCCAATCCAGGGTACTATTGATTTGGACTCCCATCCAGGGTACTATTGATTTGGACTCCCATCCAGGGTACTATTGATTTGGACTCCCATCCAGGGTTTTAACCAAGCCCTGCTTTGCTTTTATATTTGTCACTGACTACTACCAATGTGCTATCATGAGAACAATTATTGAGAGATCTCTTAATAACTAAATATATTAACTGTTTCTATCGAAGTCATTCCAAAGCATAGGTTTAACAGAGCAAATGAAATGTAACCATACTTAATACAGTGCCTTCAGAAAGTATTCATACCCCTTGACCTATTCCACATTTTGTGTTACAGCCTGAATTCAAAATGGATTAAGTAGATTTGTTTTCTCACCCATCTACACACAATACCCCAGAATGACTGTGAAAACATGTTTTTAGAAATGTTTGCAAATTTATTGAAAATTAAATACAGAAATATCTCATTTACATAAATATTCACACCCCTGAGTCAATACTTTGTAGAAAGAAGCACCTTTGGCAGCGATTACAGCTGTGAGTTTTTCTGGGTAAATCTAAGAGCATTTGTCTATTATTATTTTCTAAATTCTTCAAGCTCTGTCAAATTGGTTGTTGATCATTACTAGACAACCATTTTCAGTTCTTGCCATAGATTTTCAAGTACATTTAAGTCAAAACTAACTTGGCTACTCAGGAACATTCACTGTCTTCTTGGTAAGCAACTCCAGTGTAGATTTGGCCTTGTGTGTTAGGTTATTGTCCTGCTGAAAGGTGAATTCCTCTCCCAGTGTCTGATGGAAAACATATTTTGCCTTTGCTTAGGATTTTGCCTGTGCTTAGCTCCATTAAGTTTCTTTTTTTATCCTGAAGAACTCCCACCGTCCTTAATGATTACAAGCATATCCATAACATGATGCAGCCACCACTATGCTTGACAATATGGAGAGTGGTCCTCAGTAATGCTTTGTATTGGATTTGCCCCAAACATAACACTTTGTATGCAGGACAAAAAGTTAATTGCTTTGCCATATTTTCTGCAGTATTACTTTAGTGCCTTGTTGCAAACAGGATGCATGTTTTGGAATATTTTTATTTTGTACAGGCTTCCTTCTTTTCACTCTGTCAATTAGGTTAGTGTTGTGGAGTAACTACAACGTTGTTGATCCATCTTCAGTTTTCTTCTTTCACAGCCATTAAACTCTGTAACTGTTTTAAAGTCACCATTGGCCTCATGGTGAAATCCATGAAGGGTTCCTTCCTCTCCGGCAACTGAGTTAGGAAGGATGCCTGTATCTTTGTAGTGATTGGGTGTACCAATAGGTGCCCTTTGCGAGGTATATGGAAAACCTGCCTGGTCTTTTTGGTTGTATCTGTGTTTGAAATTCACTGCTCGACCTGAGGGACCTTACAGATAATTGTATGTGGTATTGTGGTGGAAAATCTAATCAAGTGAGAGAGACTGTCATTTCTTCAAACGATCGATCTTTATTTGATATCGATTAAATATTGCAATAATGAAGCTGGTCAACGACCACCCGTTAGGGAATCGTTGAGAGCCGATCAATACAGGAAATGCTGAGGTCTAATATAGTGGACCTAAAAATGCTTAGTCATGGCTGGTTCCACCCCAGATCAGGGCATCATAAGCTACCTTGTTTTCTTCTTGTGGCTATGTGTATCAGGTCATAGTGAACAAACAAGTGATAACGTTAGTTCTGTTACTCCTCTCTGTTCAAGCCAGCCTCTGTTCACCTCATACAGTGGGGAAAAAAAGTATTTAGTCAGCCACCAATTGTGCAAGTTCTCCCACTTAAAAAGATGAGAGGCCTGTAATTTTCATCATAGGTACACGTCAACTATGACAGACAAATTGAGGAAAAAAATCCAGAAAATCTCATTGTAGGATTTTTTATGAATTTATTTGCAAATTATGGTGGAAAATAAGTATTTGGTCACCTACAAACAAGCAAGATTTCTGGCTCTCACAGACCTGTAACAACTTCTTTAAGAGGCTCCTCTGTCCTCCACTCGTTACCTGTATTAATGGCACCTGTTTGAACTTGTTATCAGTATAAAAGACACCTGTCCACAACCTCAAACAGTCACACTCCAAACTCCACTATGCCCAAGACCAAAGAGCTGTCAAAGGACACCAGAAACAAAATTGTAGACCTGCACCAGGCTGGGAAGACTGAATCTGCAATAGGTAAGCAGCTTGGTTTGAAGAAATCAACTGTGGGAGCAATTATTAGGAAATGGAAGACATACAAGACCACTGATAATCTCCCTCGATCTGGGGCTCCACGCAAGATCTCACCCCGTGGGGTCAAAATGATCACAAGAACGGTGAGCAAAAATCCCAGAACCACACAGGGGGACCTAGTGAATGACCTGCAGAGAGCTGGGACCAAAGTAACAAAGCCTACCATCAGTAACACACTACGCCGCGTGGGACTCAAATCCTGCAGTGCCAGACGTGTCCCCCTGCTTAAGCCAGTACATGTCCAGGCCCGTCTGAAGTTTGCTAGAGTACATTTGGATGATCCAGAAGAGGATTGGGAGAATGTCAGATGAAACCAAAATAGAACTTTTTGGTAAAAACTAAACTTGTCGTGTTTGGAGGACAAAGAATGCTGAGTTGCATCCAAAGAACACCATACCTACTGTGAAGCATGGGGGTGGAAACATCATGCTTTGGGGCTGTTTTTCTGCAAAGGGACCAGGACGACTGATCCGTGTAAAGGAAAGAATGAATGGGGCCATGTATCGTGAGATTTTGAGTGAAAACCTCCTTCCATCAGCAAGGGCATTGAAGATGAAATGTGGCTGGGTCTTTCAGCATGACAATGATCCCAAACACACCGCCCGGGCAACGAAGGAGTGGCTTCGTAAGAAGCATTTCAAGGTCCTGGAGTGGCCTAGCCAGTCTCCAGATCTCAACCCCATAGAAAATCTTTGGAGGGAGTTGAAAGTCCATGTTGCCCAGCGACAGCCCCAAAACATCACTGATCTAGAGGAGATCTGCATGGAGGAATGGGCCAAAATACCAGCAACAGTGTGTGAAAACCTTGTGAAGACTTACAGAAAACGTTTGACCTGTGTCATTGCCAACAAAGGGTATATAACAAAGTATTGAGAAACTTTTGTTATTGACCAAATACTTATTTTGTATCTCCACACAGCTGTGCCCTTGAAGGATATGAGAAGAACAGGATAGACTGGGACACTGTGGTCACTATCAGAGGCTCTTTCTCTTGACCGTATTACTAAGTTGAACAGAGGCAGAGTGGAAAAATACCAGCTTCTTCTTACAAGTCCTCCAAACAGACAGTTGGAAATTTACAGATTTAAGGCTCATACAGCGCATGTGCATAACAAAAGTTGTAATTTTGCCACGACATTCCTCCCTTTTTGAGATTAATCTCAACCTAATATAAAATTACAAGTAAGCATGTAAGTAATAATTCATAATGTAAGGCAATTATGTCATAATCTAAGCAAAACCTCAACCAAGCAGAATATGAAACATTGTAGGAGAGGGCTTTCTTACACTAGTACATTGTAAATGGCTTCTGTTGTGCTACTGAGTTTAAAACCTTTAACCGTCTACACATACCCTATACAGTTCTAACTTGCCAGTGTCTATCCTTTCTCAGAAAAGCGTTTGCTCCAAGAGTGCGGATGCTTAGGAGAGAACACCTAGCAATCACAGCATCTGGGCATTCAGACAATATTCCACACCCACTGAGCCGACCTTGTGAGAGCATACCTCTGTCTACAACAGGCGCATTTCTAAGTATGCAACAGGTCAAACATCACTGTCTTCAGCAGTAAAGGGTAGCTCAGCTAATCCTTCACATCCTGCATTCTGGCCCTGGTCATGGCAACAGTTAACATTACATTTGGCCTTGAATTTGTTACCAGTTTTAAAAACATATTGCAGCAAAACTTCATGAGGATGAGCAGCAAAATCAATACAATGACTAAAACAAAAGTCAGACACAGTTGCATGATCCACCCTCCAAACCCGGTATTATCTGGCCTAGCAAACGACGGTGGGCCTGTGTGATTGTGAAATACAGAGAACGTCATGGGGTCAGGGTTACATGGTATCTCAAGTAAGAATGGTAAGTCCATTTGCATAGTCAGATTTACCCCTATGGGAACTCCCACAAGCGGTAAATCTGCTCCTACCTTAACTTAATTGTATCCCATAAGGTAATTCAAGGAATTGTCAAATTGATTAGTGACAGGTGTCCCTCATTCAGGGGCAGCGCACTCTCTCTGTCCTTGCCATGGTCCGAATCACACATAGGACTATTGCTAAATTAAACACTTTTTCCTAATCATTAGTGTTTACCCTGGACCCTCAGACTTTATTTCAAGACATTTCAAACATTGTGTACCAGGT